AAGGAAGATGCACGGTAGTCCTTAACACAGCGGACTACCAGAACAAGGTCAACATACTACTAATGGACACAAACACACTGAGGCGAGACCCAACCAGCGGATACAAGAAAAAGGCCATAGAATGTCTACAACAGCTACAGAAAGACAACACCATCTCCCCTGAACAATATTACCGTTTGTATCCTGGAGAAGCCATTCCATGCATATATGGACTACCCAAGATACAAAGAAGGAGCCCCACTCAGGCCAACTATCAGCAGCATTAACACGGTCACCTACAACATACCATTCTACCATTTTAGCTCCCTTGGTGGAAAACACGCCAAACCACATCCAAAACTCCATTGACATTGCAAACAAAGTTCGAAGACTGAAACTGGACCCAGATGAAACCATCCTATGACGTGACTTCTTTGTTCACCTGCATCCCCACCATAGAAGCAGTAGAAACGGTAAGGAAACGGCTAACACAAGACAACACCCTGGACAACAGCCCTGACCAGATCTGCAAATTACTCAACCTCTGTCTAAACACCACCTATTTCCAATACAACAGAGGATTCTACAGACAGAAGCATGGCTGTGCCATGGGTTCACCAGTATCCCCTATTGTGGCGAACATCTACATAGAAGAAGTGGAGAGCATAGCCCTCAACTCCTTCAGAAGAACAGCACCGAGCCACTGGTACAGGTATGTGGACGACACCTGGGTCAAATTTAAAAACCAGGAAGTGCAAGCCTTCACAGAACACATCAACTCTGTGGACAGCAACATCAAGTTCACACGAGAAGATGTCCACATTAACAGTTTGGCCTTCTTGGACTGCGTTGTACACTTTGAAGAGGACAGGAGTCTGCAAATTGGTGTTCAAAGAAAGCCCACACACCACAGACCAATACCTACTCTTCGATTCACACCAACCACTGGAGCACAAGCTAGGGGTCATGAGAACACTGCACCACAGAGCAGAAAACATACCAACAAGCACCCAAGCCAGAGAGAAGGAACAGAACCACCTGAAGGGGGCACTTACAGCCTGTAGATACCCTAAATGATGGTCCTTTGTGAAAACAGCCACAAGATCCAGGAAGAACAAAACTACAGAGGATGAGGAAAAGAAGGTCAAACGCAACTAAATTGTGATTCCATACGTGTCTGGAGTATCAGAGAAATTCAGGAGGATTTTCAACAAATACAACATCCCTGTGTTTTTTAAACCCAAGAACACGCTAAGACAGATGCTGGTACACCCCAAAGACCGCACACCCAAACACAAGAAAACAAGAAGACCTCTATATTGGGGAGACTAAACAACAACTACACAAATGCATGGCTCAACACTGAAGGGCCAACGCCTCAGGTCAAGACTCTTGATGTAAGTTTACTTACATCTGAAGGACAGAGGACACTCATTTGAAGACCACAAGGTGCACATTTTGGACAGAGGTTTGAGAAGCCGTCGCTGAACAGAGGAGGTGGTCTATGCCACCACTTATCCCCCACTTACAATGCGGTCCTTTCATCACTTCCCAGTAAACTCAACAAACGTAACCTATTGGCCTCAGGTGAATATGCCAACAATGGTCGTTCAGTCTTGGCCTCAGGGAGCCCTAACGACCATAACGACTGTCTTTACAACATCCAGGAGCACTAATGAACCAGCGGTATCGACGAGCCTGGCAAACAACCCCACTGAGGTTAAATAGCTTAGTTTCCCTACCAGACAGTCAGAACTGAAAAAGTCCCTTGGATGAGGGATGAAACCAGTGTGCAAACTGGGCTGACTGTGAAAGTATCAGGCATAATTGTCTTATTATTATAAAAAGAACAATATAATTATTAATATTATTATCATATGTAGCCATTTTGCTACAATTAGGTTTCACACAACAATAAAGCATGCTGTCAATATTTTAGACCCCCCAAAATATCACAAATCATGCTTTTAGGGGAGCTGATGTCTTATTTAGGAGAGCTAAGCTCCCCCTGGCTCCCCCGTAGTTCACACCCTGGACAAAAAGTCTTCTAGTGTCTTCAACCAAGGCCAGTTGCCCTTGACTTTAACCTTCTTTGGATAACTATGACCTGGATGACTGAGAATCTTCACAGACATAGAGACTTGCCACCATTTAGACAATTTTTGCCTAAGAATTTAATGAATGAAGACTTTCAAATTATTATTTTGGATGTGTAGCCTATTTCTTAAACTGCTGTAACTTTCCCGCTGGAGTTAATTTAAAGAGTTAGGTCATTTTCAGGTTCAAAATCCTATTTATGGGTTGTACCAGAACAGGTTTACATGGTTTAATTTTCAAAAAACTTTTTTTTTTCATACTGCGCATTGCTGCAGCTCCTCTTTTCAATCTGCGTAGAAGGCTTTGTTTTAGCTATGAAGTGATACATCTTGCCTCTAAATGATCTTTGTTGGGAGTTGCACATGTGCAGTTCCCAGGTAAGGACTACTAGCCAATCAGAAGCAGTGAAGGGCGGGCCTATGAGAAGCCGGTAAAGACCATAGACTGTATATAAGAAATGGACGTAGTCATCGTGGTGTCACCAGTTGGTTTGTGGACTGCCGTTTTGAAGCCTCGAGTTTGGCTGATAGGGCGCCGCAATGTCGAGTTTTTGCAACCAGGAAGTGCCCGGAAGTGACCATACATTGGAGCTAACAGCTAACAGCTTGCTTAGCTAGGTGCATCTGTAACTCAGTCATTTTAACAGGGCTGAAAACTTTGTCTAGCGAACAACAGTCTTAAAACTAAATGTACTCACCAAAGAAAGTGAACAGCCAACTCCTAATAAGCTTTTTCAATGGTGATGGTTAAATTTACACAGTGCCGAGGGCACGAGTCGGCTCTAGCCTAATTGACAGGTCGCCATGGTAACGACTTGTCAATCATAGATAATCCCGCCCTGAAACATACTCTGCTTTGTGGTCTATTTTAAAATTAATGGGACCATAATTTACTAAATGAACAACATTTTGTATTGAAGAAGACTTGAAAATAGCGACTGAGACCATAAACTCATCAGGAAAGTGTTTACTGGGGTAATTATTCAGCTGAGAAGTAGGGTAATTTTCCCATTATTTCTAATGGAGTTGGACTTCTTTTTGCAACCAGAAGAGTCGCCCCCTGCTGGATTTTCAATAGAATGCAGGCTTCAGGGACTTCCGCATTGGCTTCATATTGTAGACCGGAAGCTTCCCGCTTGGTAAAGACGCTTCCTGTCAGCTGTAGGCTACATGCTGCAGACCCCTGCCAAAAGCTTGGCAACACAGACTGGAGCAATAATTTCAGCGAGTGAGTTATTAATTTGTAACAAAAACATCTTTCATCCATAAAGTTATATCTGAGCTCTGTCTCTACATCAGAGTAACAACTTTATGTCCATTGACTGCCTGGAGGGTAGCTAGTGTTTGGAAGGGAGAGGAGAGGTGTGTGCTGCAGCTCAGTATTTTCCACCAGTGTTTTTGAGGGCATGTAGGACTAGCTGCTTGGTGAGAGTTATATGAGGCGCATTTAAAGGGAAATGGCTTGACTACAAATGGGCCTTTTCACTTTGCAAACCTATTACATGCACAAAAAAGGTATATAACTCAATAAAGGAGAGGGAAAAAGACAAAAAGCATAATACCACCTCTTTAAGGCTTTAATGAATACACTGACATGACCTCATCAAGATGTGTTTTGTGCCCAAACCTAACCTAACCCTAACCATAGTTGTGTAATATGAGGAAAGGTTTATTTGTGAAACAAATACTCTTTAAACTATCTGCAAACTATCCAAAAATAGTGTGACCTATTATAAACCCCATTGAACCCATTATAAATATAGAGAACTGGCACCTTTTTTCCACTTCACGTAGCCAACAGATAGCTAGCTAGCTAGCTAGCTAGATTGTTTTTTATTTATCTATTCTATTCTATTTCTATTATCTATTTCTATTTAAACACACGTGTTTACTGTATTTATTTTATTTTATTTATTTATTTGAATTGAATTGTTCTTTTGTATTTTCTTTGAACTTTTCGCAATACTGTCCTTTTAACATTCATGCCAATAAAGCAAATTTGATTTGAATAGATAGATACATAGATAGCTAGATAGAGAAACTTCCCTTTAGCCTACATGTTGGATCAGGACCAGCCTGTATCCAATCTTGCTTTACGATGCAGAGATCAAACCCCAATCAAAGAGGACGAAATGCAAGAGGGTACTTGCAGCGTGTGAAGAAATCATGTTGGCCAACGAGCGGTCCTTCCTACTTTCACTCATACTGCACTGCAGGGATTTCCCATGTTTCACTACTGTAGCCTACGCATCCTCCCTCACGTAGCCTTGTTCTCAGTCTGATGTGCTGTGACATGAGGAGAGGAGAGGAGTAGAATAGAAAATAATATACCAGAAACATTCATCTTAGGTCTAATTAAAATATAGCATGCTCTTATTTTATTATGAGATCTACTGTAAGCTAATTTATCTAGGCTACTTTAGCCTATTTCATATTGCGGTGTATGCAAGCGTACAATTCATCTGGCCAGTTCTGCAGCAGAACAGCCTGTCTCCATGGGAACGTGCCATGTTCGTTTCATGACTTCTTACATAACAGTGCTGCATCTATGCATATGGACGCGCGCGCGTGCACACACACACAAACACACACTTCATCCATAGGCGATCCGGTCTGCAGTCCTTTACAGATCGATGCACAGAGGAGGGCTGGTTATAAAACTCTTGCCTGTATAGACCATGCAGTCCAACAGGACCCGGTCACACGATGAGAGGGACCAGTCTGCCAATCACATTACTACTGTGTTATTTTGACTAGGTCTATTCTGACTTGTAATCTACAGCTGCCCAGTAGCCTATTTCATCACGTGCACGTGACCGACTTTTCATAGTGGGAACGGGACAAAATGCTTCGTCATTCCCCGCTACTGAGTCCGGTCAGTCTCTCTCACACCACTCATCTGCCGGTGTCTCTGGTAAATACTACCTTTCATCGTCGATACAACCCTCGATTCCCCGACGATGAAAGTAAGACGTTTGAATAAGACGTTAACCAGACCGGTGATTCATCCCTGTGGTTTCTATGGCAGCCGAGAGACCGTGACCAGTCCCTCGTTCAGAATGGAGCCTAGCAAAAAAGGATGCCATGACGTCACGTCGCCAGGGCGACAAGGCTCCCTGAGGCACGTGTCCGGTATAAAAGCGGAGGGCGGCGCTGTGGACTGCGCAGACAGATTCAAGAAGCATCAGCCGTGAGGTAAGCTGAGAGACCGATTTACCCTTCAATGTGTAGGCTTGAGGTCACTTTAACTGGCCCTACACTAGATACATTTGTCCAAATTATCTAAATTGAAGTCGTTAAACGTATTTCACATGATTCAGCCGTCACTACAGTTTCAAATCTTAGCTTGTCCGTCGATTCACAAATGTCGGCCTGCCATCCTTGAACCTGGTTAACTAACGTTTGCTAATGCAGTTTTAAATGGCAGTTTGTAATATTTACTCTTACATTTGGTGCATTTCTTAAGACTGGCATTATTAAAAGCTGTGAACGGCTTGCGAGAAGCCAGAGGCCACCCTCTAAGGTGAATTTTATCAGCTTTATTTTAATCAGCCTCATAAAGTTACCCGTTTTAACGTGCAGGGGAGACAGACGAGGGGATGAGAGAGTAGAAGAGCTCAAAGCTCATTTAGACTTTGGATTTGTAAAGCAGCCACTTTCGCAGGATGCACTACAGGAAGAGAAGAGCGATGATGGGAGGGGATGTGGCCTTGTAGTTTGGAGAGAGACGTCGTGTAATACTATCCTCTGGAGTCGTGACGTTGTATGATTTAGCTTTATAATCGAAATCCACTAAAGCAGCAAACTCCCGAAGCATTAAAATGAAAAGGATTGGTCGCTTATTGTAAAGAACATCTGTAAATATAAATAACAGTCCATTCATACTGAATAATTCATTCATCGGAAGCTAAATTGTCTTCCTGAGCGGGTAACGTGACATTGGCAGCTCCCATTGCTGCATCTTTGCGGAAGTGGATTAGTCTTATGTAACCCACTACAAAAATAAAGGCTATAAAGTTATTAACGCGTTTATAAAAACAAAGTACTTGGTAGACAAGTCAGGATGGAAATGTGTTTACAGTAAACCCTGACTGTAACTCTGCCGGTGCATTATTATTATATTACATACTGAGTTGTGATAAAAGAAGTGTGTGTGTGAGGTGAAGCTACGTGCCTCCCCTGGTCTGCATGATGAAGGCTTTTCGTCGTTGCGTCATTAGATTTCAGAGACGAATCGTGCTATAGCAGTGTCGGGAAGCAGAGGTGATGCAACGGGACAAATGAATAACCTTGGTTTTGTTTCGTGTTGAAAGACGAGGGAAACATGTTGAAGGGCTTCCTGCGATGCTTTTGAAGGGCAGAGAGGCAGGACGGTGCCGCATGATTCTGCCGCAGTTTACTCCAGACTCGACAGACCTGTTGATGCGTTTTGCAAAGAGGCCTGCGCTTTTAAAGCAACTATACGACACAGTTAAAGTTCATCTCCAGTTTATTAAACTACATAACTACCCTGTTCAGTGGGGAAATTAGTTAAAGGGTTAGCTAACAGAAGAATGTGATTTTTCTTTCAAAATCAATATCCATCTTAGCCACACAGTCAAATTGTGCTATTCTAAATATTATTATATAGTAAACAATAGTAGTAATACATAATACTTTATTATTAATTGTGGCAATCACTATTTGCTTGCAGTTGCTTTAAATCATCTCATGTAGGTGTGGTACGTGCAGATGCCGCCATGTCTCAATGGTGAAGGTCGTCACTCCAGCTGAGGAAGGTCAAGTCAGGCTCAGGGATGTAGTGGGCTGTAGTGATGCTGACCAGCTGCTAATCTTTATCCTCAAGCGCCTTATCAACTTGAAAATGGTTAGTTTCACACTGTACTCATGGATGGGGAGTCACACTTCTTAGCTCAGGGTCTGGATGACTGAAGGTTACTAATAACAGGCCCAGTGCTGCTTGGGAGATGCTAGGCCTAAGTATTTGTAGTCAAAGATGTATGTATGTATGCCAAACGTTAGGCCCTAAATACATTTTCATAAATTTGTAAGAAATTATGCAGTTATTTGTGGTGATTCAGCAGATAACAGTATTGCAGTATTATAATATATTACAATTACTTAATGTGTTAAATAAATGTAATTAACAATGAACCAATTTATGATCATAAAATCCCTCTAGATTCATTTCATTTTTAAACAGAATTTTAAAGCACATATATAACTTTCGAGTAGCTTCTCTTGTCCAATATTCAGTACAGTTAATATATTTATAATGACAGGGATCACAGCAAGATCTCAAAATGAAATGAGTCTGCTTTCATCAATGCATTTGTAGTAGTTAAATTCTACACTTATATATCATGAAATGGATTTATTATTGGTCAAAGATAAACCTGGTCTGAGTCATATTAATATTTTTTTATTAGAGACACGGGGGAGATTCCTTGCACATGAGGCACAAAAGTTCTGAGCTTGTCGTGTCGCTCATGATTACTCTGACATTCATTCTGCTCTTGTAGGTGTTGCAGAGCAGTGTGTCAGCCAGTTGTCTGAAATATAAAGTCTCCTTTGCTGACCAAACTATTAGCCAATGAGTTTAGCTAGAGCACACTAGCATGTACTGTTTTCCATAGTTTCATTTTTGTGCGAAAGGAATTAAAGGCCTGTCCCAAATATATCTAGCCTGAATTCAGTGATTTTAGCAAATAAAAGCCCAGGTTATTAATCAATGTTTTACAGTAACTATATAGACATTTTTATTCGCCTATCAGATTAGTGTCTATTTGCTAGTAATGTTGGTCATGGCAGGGAATCTCCCTTTCCCCTCTGGTACACACTTTAGGGCAGCATGGTAGTTTACTGCCTCCTACAGTTAGTGACTAATAACTACTTCTAAAAGTCAGTTTTGTCATGAAACTAATACAGTCATACATTTACATAGAGCCTTGAGTCATTCATTCTTCCTGTTGGTTATGACTTGTTTTCCACTTGAAGGTAGTGTAGTTTTTTCTAGACTGAGGTTAGCATGAGTACCCCTCTCCATTATGGTCTGTAGCTGACTTATTATCAACCAGGATTTTGTACAGGATGTGTGTAAGAGAGAAGGAGCTCCAGAGTGACTCAGCATTCTGCAGCCATCGCCAATTTGAGGAAATAAACCCAACAGTAAGGAAGGGTATACGCAGCTGTGACAAAAAAGGACCTTACTTGTACAAAAGAGCAGTTTGCCTTTGTTTTTATGTAGTGCAGTTATTCAGGTTCAGGTATTTACCTGTACAGTTAGCATGATATGAAATACTACTGTACTGAAGCATGAGAGGATCTGAGTTTTAGGAAGGATATATCTGTCACCTGCCTGCTGACACAGGCTCATACAGTAGGCCTATGGACAGTGTGTGTGTGGTCCAGCATTACCCCTGCAGAGTTATCACATGTCTCTCTCCTTTTGAATCCTCTGCACTTTGATACAGCACACCTTTTACTTATTCAGGATGGTGGTTGGTGTGTGTACCTGTGTTTGTGTGCATGAAAAAGTCATTGCTGAACTGCAATAGTAAGTTACTACATTTATAAACCACCTTCCTGATTCTTCAGTTTGATTAATGCATATCTCTGCGTGTATATTGGAACAGGATTACATAAACTATTAGCACCATTAATTCAAGGTCTGCTTATCATGTTAATTTGCCACAGCTGAATTGGCTAATAGAAATAGTGAAGTTCTCATCTGTCTTTCCTCGTCAGCGGGAGACCATTCCGGCTGAGTAGGACACACAGTCTGTGGTGTTGTAAGTGCACGTGTCTGACTGGTGATGTGATGGTGTTGGACATTTTAACTGACTAGTTTACCGCAGCGAAGTGACATTGCCTCCACGAAGAGACTATAAAAAGAGAGGAAGCATATACGGCTAAAGACGAGACGAAAGAAAAGATGAGCAGAAGAAAAGTTGCAAACAACATAGAAAGTTTGGCTCCTCCTCACCTGTGTGTGCAAGTGTATATAGGTGGCATTTGTTGTTCAGTCTCTAATGTATCTTGATTTATTTGATTTATTTATTTGAAAATATTAACAAATTGGATAGCCTGCCTGTCCTCTAGCCATTAAACACATTGCAGTGGAAAAATACTGGAGAGAAAGAGGGTGTGATAGAGGGATAGAAAGCTGGAGGAACGTTTGAATAAGCGACAGACACTGAAAGGGGGGTGGCTGAAGGAGGAGGGCCTGGGGTGTGGAAAAGTGGGCAGGAAAAGTACAGGGCAGAGTCAGTAAGTTCATTCACTCACTGACGAATTTCCAAAGAATTTACTAGCTTTAGTCGAAACTTTGAAAGCCTCTCCTGACATTAATGTCAAGGTTGTTTTCAAGCTTTTACTATGACACTGTAACAGCTTTAGGAAACACAATAATCTAAAAAGTGTATCTTGTAATTTTGTGAACCGTAATACTGTTGCAAAGACAAAACGGTAGTCTTATTTCCTCAAACCTCAGGTCCATATTAGGATTAGCAGCAAGTGACTGGACTCCACACACACTGTCCAAATGCTCCTCTTAGAGCGGCAACATATTGAAGATAAAAGAAGAATAAGTGTTTGTTACGCACAGTATTGGTGCTTGACATCAGAGGAGGTGTTGGCAGCAAGTGAAATGCTGTGTCATGACCCCTCCTCTCCCCTACCTTGCTCTTTCATTCGTCCAACATACTTTGTTGTACATTTTGAGATTATATCACTGCAGCCTGTTGTCTTTGTCCTTTTCTGGTAGACTGGTTATGAGTCATCTCACCCCACAGTGGACCCCCCGGTGCACATGCATACCCACATGGTGATCCTTTCGGCGCCTCTGGTTAAACTGTGTGTTTGTGCGAGGAAAATGGGTCGCAGCTCAGAGGGAGGGTAGGGTTGTGCTAAATGAGGGGGGCTAGACAGACAAAGAGTGGCAAGGACAGACAAATGGGGAGATGGAGGGAGGTTGTTGTTGAATTTTAATGATTAGTTTGGGTGGTGGGGAAAATGGGAGGGGAGGTATTCAGAGCCAAAAAAGCAACTGGGCAAGACA